TAAGAAATGAAAACAATTTATAATTTATCAAGGGGTCACGAGAGGAGGAGAGAGGGGGGGGAAAGTGGAGCTGATACCAGGGGCTCAAATAGGAAGTATGTGTTTAGAAAATGATGATGACAACATAATATGCTTGATACAATTGATGAATGGAATGTTGTAAGCCCCCAATTGTACGAGCCCCCAATAAAATGATTTACACAAAAACACGGTCTGGTGATCTGCTTCTGCAATTGCACAACTCTTGATAACATTACAGAGCACTGCTCTGCCCTCTGGGGTAGCAGCGAGTCCACTGGAATCTTTATCTTGTACTTGGTTAATGAGTTCTTGTAAGATGGGCTAAGTCATGAACTTAATCACCACTGAATTATAAAATTGGGAAACCAGATGAAGAAACATACACAGATGTCAAGAACTGCCAAGGAATATTAGAGAATTCCAAGGAGCATACATTTTGACTGGGCACACAGCAAACTCAGAGCGGTGGTGTTTTGTTTTGTTAGGTGGCCGGGAGTTGGATCCTACTCCTAGTTCCCCAGAGTACGAAAATGCCAGCGCTTCCAAGTTCTGCATCCTACAAGTGAGTGGTCCACGAAGCCTGTCCAAGAGCCTCCCCATTTGTGAGAAAGTGCACTTCCCTTCTCCAGAGCTCCTCACTGTGGTGTTTCTTCTGTGGCAGCCCAAGCAAACCAAAATAAGCAGGTTTTCCCTCAGATGCTCACGGAAGAAGGTAAAAGACCAGAAACCCATCAGTTATGGGCAAAGTTTATAGCAGAAATGAATCAGGAGACGGGAGACATTTCATCAATGAAGACAGCTTTCAACCAAGACAGATCTCAGCTCCTTCTCAGCTGAGCCCACAAGCAGACCACTCTAAGGATCCCTGATGGCCACCTTCAGCCCCAGGTCCCAACTCAAGCCTGTTTTATGGCGCTATCAGCTCTGCTGTCAGGGGCCCAGAAACAGCCCCCTCTGCCAGCAAGCCTAACGCCCAAAGACACTCCCCTCTCTGGCTCCACTGTAGGTCAGCTCTCCCACTGCAGCAGCTTCGGTCTGTGGACTGGGACACCTACTGCAGCCATCTCTTGATGGTCTGCTAGCACTCACCAACATAACCATCATGCATCATCTCACACGGCCTCCAGAAAGAAAGATAACTCTTTCTCTGGTGTTTAGGAAGTTCTCATCACCAAAATCCTAGTGTTCAAATGATACATTCCACTCGCAGCTCATCTTGATGGGAGCAATATCCCCTTCAATCCTTTAACTGCCCCTTCTAAGTCTTGCAGGTAGAGAATAGACTTCATTAAGATTTTCACCTCCTATCTGATGTCCTTTCAAGCTATTTGGAAGGAATTTGTAAACATTCATGCATTACTGCTGTGATAAAAAAAAGAAATAGTGGACCAGAACAGACCATAGTAGGACTTTAACAATAAGCTCTATAAATGAGCTACAGCAGCCTTCCCGGGGGAGCTCACATTGGTGAGCCCTGCTGCGGTGCAGAATCAGCGGTGAAATTCCTGGACAGTAATCCCTGGAAATGGGACTGGCTGGATGGGGAGGGGAAAGATGGAGTTGTTGAACTTCTATTGGAATTTGATCAAACGTTGAGAAACATCTCGTGAGTGCTCATGATCTAATGTATCTGGGTCCTAATTGACCACAGCATCTCTGCACAGGAAGTCACAGGGCTGTCCAGCATCTTGATTAGCCTGCCTCGCTCACCCAATCCCACTCTCTCTCCAGAATCAGAGAAATGCCCTCAGGTCCTCGTTGGAAACCTATCAGCTTCTGTACAGACCAGCTCTCCCTATCCAGAAAGAAAAAAAATGGAGGAAAGGTAAGAGTTTGTCCAGTCCTGTCTTATTTCAAAGTCTGTTGCATTTGTATCCTTAGAGGGCACTGCATTGTTCCTCTGGTGGTGGGACCTTCAGGAAGTAAAGCGGGGAGTTGCACTAGGAAAAGGAAGTCAGCATCAAGTTCCCTTTTGGCAATGTTGTGTGGCAGCTCTCTGGATTGGGGGAGATGCAAATGGGGGAAACCAGGCCTGTTCTCCTGGGATTCTCTTTCTGTACTCTCCCCTTGAGATAGCTTAATAACAAACACTCATAGCTTCCCCAAACTAATGTCCTTTGATTCACCCAGGTTAATCTGTTTCATTTGCTTTTTAAAAGTTTCCTCTTTGTGTATCTGTCAGAGTTCCAGTTGAAAACAGATTACCCAAACTGGGATAGCTGAAGAGTGTTTAATGATGGTACAGTTACAAAGAAGGGGCACCAATAAGAGCAGGCTGTAAGGGCTGGGGAAGCCCCCCAATTTAAGAAATTGTGGGGAGCTCTTATCATTTTTATGCCTAAGGGGCAAGGGGAAGGCACCAGAACTCACAGAGGGCTACAGAGGTAGCTGTGCCCTCAGCAGAAGCCCACCAGATAATGTTGTGTTCTCAGAATAACACTGCCACTGCCCACTTCCTACACCAAGAGAGAGAAAGCCAAGAGGAAAACAACCCAAACTACCATAATCTTCATTTCTTGCCTTATAAATTTGTGTTAAGGTCACCCTTAGGTTCAACGGAGCTAGGACCAAGAGGGAAGGGACTCCACCTGAGGTCCAGGTAGGGTAAACAGATAGGAGACTGCAATGATGAAAGACAACTACAAAATCCATCACATCCCACGATATCCTCGTCACAATATGTGTCTCCTAGGCCTCTCTCCGTATCGATGCGATTTGATCACTTTCTCATAGCATCGATACGTTTTGTTTTGTTTTGTTTCTTTACTGACACTTTATTGAAATGAATGCCTCACTCTCATAAGACCTTAAAAATCAAATGTAGTAAAATAAGGAGTGAACAAGTTAGATCTTACCGTGGCATGGTGATTTAACTGATATGGCTCTTCTAGCCATAGACATTGTCACTCCAACCAGATGACTAAATAGGACCAAGGGCATTGGGAACATTGGATCCCTCTTTTCCTTCAGGATCTAGGTAGGAGATGTGGAGGAAGACATTTAGAGGATTATACAATTCAACTGTGAATGACTCTTGGAACAGAATTAGTGGTAACAGGGTTAATGGTAATGCTTGCAACTTTAATATGGGTATTGGTCAAGTTTGGCATCCTGCTGAATATAAAACACGCCATTTCAGAAGCAGGAATGGGGCAGGCAGGGGGCAGCATGGATCTCACTACCATCAAGAAAGAAGTGTTAGGGGCTGAACCCAATTTTTTGGACCCTGATGATTCTATGCATTGGAGATCCTCAATGCAGGAGACAGAACCTGAAACAGCAGAGAAGTCCTAGAGAAGTAATGGCAGCAGAGGTTAGACCAAGAGCAGAAGTGGCAAGTGTCCTGAGCCACAGAGAAAGAAAACTCCTGAGTATAAACAGTGGCTTGGTTGTGCAGTGGATGGCCCTCAGGCATTTAATTTGGGGAGCTGGGTTTGCTGACTCACAGAGCTAGATGCAAGCTCCTCCTGATTGACTGTGGACTGCTGTCTGGGAACTTATTGGCAGTGAGAAAGGAACTTTGGAACATTTCCCTAGTGGGGAAAGGTCAAGAGCCCTCATGGTGAGACACAAAGGACCAGACAGGTGCTCCTGATTAGAACTGTATCCTGAGTAATTCTGATCCTAGCTGTAACCTATTAACTTCCTTTAGAAACTCCATAATGTGGAGTTTTGTCTATAAGTTTTGTGTGACCGCTGCAATGAATTCTTGAACTCAGCAGAAAAGTTGGGAGCACCTTAGCAAGGATGGTTGTTGTCAGAATCAATAGAGGGTTGGAAAGTGGAGCAGGACAGCCTACGGCTTCATAAGAATTGGCCTTGGATGGATGTTGGGTTTGATTGTCCATCCCCCTTGTGGACTTACAGGACATGGCCAGTAGCCCAGCTATCCTTTTTAAAGTCTTTGGATAGTCTAAGGGAAACCTATTATACATAGTAGTGACTTGATTGAGAAAGACGCTTATTAGACTTGGACTGGTGGATTCAACACGTCACAAATCAAGTTGTTGTTTTTTTTACCCAAATTGTTGCACTCCCATTTCTGGATTGTCATAGTCAGACTTTTGTATTCCATGTTGCACTTGATGTGCATGTTCCTTGCTTATTTTCCCCCTCCCATGTGAAGCTGACCTCTTACATTGCAGGACTGGTTGAGGACATAATTAACTCAGACCTGTGGGTTCACATCCAGACTCTAGCACTTGTTGGCATGAGTTCTGGGGCAAATCACCCAGTCTCCTTGTGCTTCAGTTTCCTTACCTGGAAGATAGGGATAATAACAGTATTTTGTTCACAGGGCTCTTATGAAGATTATTAGAAGAAATACCTGGGAAGTGCACAGTCAGCTTCCATTATCCATGCAAATATATGTTAGTCTACCTTCTCACATGAACATTTATCTTTTTATTCAAAACGCTGTGCATTTTAGAAACAAAGGCTCTTTCTATATCCAAACCTCAAACAAAACATGTGTGAGGATTGGACAGGGCCTGGTAGGACTTCTTATTGTTATCTATACAGTTGCTATGAGTCAGAAGAGACTCAACAATACCTAAAACCACCACCACCTGAGGATGGAAAGACTGCCATACTGAACCCTGCCACTGTCTCACAGAGCTTGTCCTAGCCTTAAAGACCAGGTGCAGGACAGGTTGTCAGGAAAGTGTGGGAGGTGTTTGGAAAAGCTACAGTCCCGACGGCTTGTGCTACTCCAGAGAGAAGGCAGCTTTAAAGACAAAGAGAACTGGGGTGGGACCCAGGCTCCACTCTCACCCACCCCATCTCTCGCCACTGTGAAAGAAGATAATAATTCCCACGGAGGAGGGATGTCCTGACAGCAGGTGGTCAACTCTTGTTTATGTTCTAGGACCACCAGCAGAGGGTTTCTGAGCTCGGTGCCAGCCTTCACAGACCAGGGGAACCAACTCTCAACAGTTAATGAAAATGGCCAGACCCATCCTTCATATGATGTATTGCAGATGGTGATCCAGCATATTCTGGCCTGGACTCTGATCTGTCTGAACCTCACCTTTTCCCTGGGTGGGCTGGCAGCAAACACTCTCGTGATCTGGCTCCTGAGTTTTCGCCTGCGGAGGAACCCCTTCTGTGTCTATATCCTCAACCTGGCAGCAGCCGACTGCATACTCCTGGGCATCACGTTTGTATATTTCCTCATGAGCATCATCGATTACTACCACAGTGTCCGAATTTCCTACCATATATTCATCTATATGATATCGTTTCCCTACCTTACAAGCATGAGCCTTCTCAGCGCTATTGGCACCGAGAGATGCCTGTGCATTCTGTGCCCCATTTGGTACCGCTGCCACCGCCCAGGTTACATGTCAGCTGTCATGTGTATCCTGCTCTGGGCCCTGTCTCTGATGCTGACCTTCCTGGATTGGATCTACTGTGAAGAAATTGGAATTTTGTGTCAAGCATCTGAATTCTTCATTTCAGCATGGCTTATTTTCTTATTTGTGGTTCTCTGTGGGTCCAGCCTGCTTCTGCTGGTGAAGGTGTTCTATGGAGCCCAGAGGAGGAAGATGACCAGGTTTATTATGACCATTCTGATCACGGTGTTGGTCTACCTACTGTGTGGCCTGCCCTTGGGCATTAGTTGGTTCCTACTATCCTGGTTTCCAATCAAGCTTTATGCCTTACTTTATATATTTTTTCAATTTCTCTCCTGTGTTAACAGCAGTGCCAACCCCATCATCTACTTCTTCGTTGGCTCCTTTAGGCAGCAGCGGCTGAAGCCAACCCTCAGGATGGTTCTCCAGAGGGCACTGCAGGACACTCCTGAGGAGGATGAACCTGGAGGAGCCCCCACCTCAGGGACCCACGGAGCAGAGAGCAGTGTGGTGTAGTGCTGAGAGCCTCTGCCTCTGTCAGACAGTTGTGGCTTTAGAACCCAGTTTGTCCCCATCAGCTTGCATGATTTTCTTAATTTTTGTTTGGCCCTGCCTCATCAAATGAGTGAAATAATATTCCTCCTTGTTATGATTAAAGAGGAAAAGACCGATTAAACATAAAAAAGCTGTTTCATATTTTAAAAATCCATGCTGTATTCACCACCATTTAAAAGTTGTTTCTCCCCCCGCCCACCCCCCACCGACCACCATTGATTTACCTAATGGTAAAAGCCTTCAGAATATGTTTTAGAGTTCTTACAAACTTAATCTCTAGTTGTTTTCCTTGGTGATTCTGTGGGCCAGGGGGAGGGGTGGGAAATGGAATTGCTCAAACTGCCACCATTTTGCAAAAGGCGATCATTTTATTTTATCAATGCATTTGATAGGGAAAAAATAAGTCTAGTTTTGATGTTTCTTCCATACAAAGTCTGTCTCAATAAAATTGAAATAATTAAAGGTTTATTTGGCCTCTCAAAAGCAGTCTTCTCTAATTGTGTCAGATCTAATGATATCTCCCTCATTTAATAGATATTTATTGTATAAATCAGAGGATGCATGCAAATCTTAGTCCGGTGCATTCTAGGTTCATGCAGACACCGTTCTTCAAAATGCTACAGCTAGATGGCGCCCAGCTATAACTGCTCCGAAAGGGCCACATTAGAAGTTCTCGGATAAGCATGGGGAGGGTGTGTGTGGAACAAAACTCAACAGCCTAATAGACAAGTCTAATTGCTCTTACTGGATAGAGATTTTGTGGGAGCCTTAACACTGGCCCGTTTTTGATTGGTTAGAGTTTATGTCAACTTGATGCACTGTGTGGAGCTTTCCAATCTCTCAAACAGGTTGTACCTGGTGATGCCTCTTTGGGGGTGTGGCCTTTTTATAAGGGAGACAATGAGAGGAATTGAGCCCTCTCCTGCTGGCTGCCTTCCTGTTTGCCTAAGATTGTACATATGGCTGTGGGGTTGGTGGCCTGTGTTGCCTGCATACATTGGTGCCCTGCCATGTTCCTACTCACCTCAGGTCCATGCAATTCTACACCCACTGGCCACGAGCTCCTAACTTCCCATTTCCCTTGCCTGCTTCATCCCCTAGAAGTGGGTGAGTCTGAGCATCTCTAGCTAGCATTGGCCCGCGGACTTGAGCTGGACTGGCAGGGCCACTTTCTTTTCCTTTTTGAAAGGTTTCTATTCTTTAATTCTTAATATCAACTCTATTTCAAATTATGGGCAGTCACATTCAAACATGCTTAGATTTGACATGTTGCTGTTATAATACTGAGAAAATTCATTAAAAATTATATTTAACCATTTGTAAGATAATCAGATATCTTTTTGCTACAGGGATTAAAATATTAATAATACCATGTTTAAAAACACAGTCATTTGGACTTCAAATTATTATAAAAGAACATCAAGGTCATATATATATACATTCTGAAATATGCAAACATTCTATTTTGAAAGCTCAAGGTTAATGTTACACATAATAGAATGTTTCATGAGATTTTTCTCTGTTGCATTAACTTGCCAAGGACCAAAAACCAAACCAACCTTTCTCTAAAAAACACAGCTACTGCTACACTAGTGTAATCATAGAAGAAAGACTACCAGAAGTAAAGTAGCACTTTGATACTAACCATTTTCTCCATAACACACCTTTCCTAGGAGACATAAGACTTAGGGAATTTGGATTTCCTTTATGGAATTTAACATAATAGAATCACAAACTTTCTGGCTTTAATAAACTTCAGTTATTTTTGCTTCAGGATTTATCTACACAGCACAATGCTACACAAAATGATTCCAATGAAAGAGCCATTTGGATTCACAATATGATTAACATAATAGTGTCATACAAAGTTTTTTCTGCATACAAAATTTGACATGAGCTACACTGGGCAGGACCACTTTCTTGATATAAAATTATTTTTTGATATAAATTTCTTTACTATACATGTCTGAGTGTTCCTGGTTTTGTTTCTCTAGAAATTTCAGCCAACACACCCTTCACCCTTCAGGTCTGAAACTGAATTCATACTCATGTTAGAATAATGAACCATTTAAGATCAAAATGAGAGGAATATTTGTTTTGTTTTGTTTTTTTTCTTACTGAGGTGTTACAGAACTCTATAGATTTTAGTCATTTGCCCTTTGTCCACTGTGTCATTACTAAAGATTTTTTTCCCCAATCTATGGGCTCTCCTTTCACATTTTAGATGAAGTCTTTTGGTGTGCATAATTGTTTCATTTTTCACATGTCCAGGTTATGTATTTTGTCTTCCACTGTGTGTACTTCTTTATATTTAGTAGCCTATATATGCCATGCAATATTTGTTTTTCCATGCCTTTAAAGGATGTAGTTGGAATTTGGATCAGAGTTGCATTATATTTGTAGATTGCTTTTGGTAGTATGCTTGAGGCTGCAATCCACGTGGTCAGCAGTCCAAAATCATCAGTGCCTCCTCAGGAGAAAGACTGGGCTTTCTATTCCAGTAAACAATTACAGTCTTGGAAACCCACAGGGGGTCACTATGAGTCAGTATTGACTGGATGAAAGTGAGGATTGAGAGTTGAGCTTGTGTTTTCTAAGGTAATATTGATATTTTCACAATATTAAGTCTTCTTATCCATGAACATGGAATCTTGGACAGGGACAAACATTGCACAAAGGCTAACACTCTAACGGCTAACAAGTGCATGATCACTAGCTATCCAAGAGATGGAAATCAAAACAAAGATGACAACAACTTACACCTACAATGTTAATCCACTATATGAATATCACATATTGCCATACTTATACTGAGACAGGTTTTAAGTAGAGGCACAAAGTCCATCTGCTTCCTTATTGTTTATATATAT